CAATGCACTCTACATGGGGCTACCTTTGAAGGTGACCTGGAAACTGCAACTAATCCAGAATGCGGCAGCCAGACTGGTGACTGGGAGCGGCTGCTGGGACCACATAACACCGGTCCTGCAAGACCTACATTGGCTCCCAGGATGTTTCCGAACACAATTCAAAGTGTTGGTGCTGACCTTCAAAGCCCTAAACGGCCTCGGTCCAGTATACCTGAAGGAGTGTCTCCACCCCCATCGTTCAGCCCAGACACTGAGGTCCAGCACCAAGGGCCTTCTGGCGGTTCCCTCACTTGAAGAAGTGAGGTTACAGGGAACCAGGCAAAGGGCCTTCTCGGTGGTGACGCCTGCCCTGTGGAACACCCTCCCATCAGATGTCAAAGCAATAAATAACCATTTTACTTTTAAAAGACACCTGAAGGTGGCCCTGTTTAGGGAAGTTTTTTATGTCTCACACTGTATTGTTTTTAATATTCAGTTGGAAGCCACCCAGAGTGGCTGGGGAAACCCAGCCAGATGGGTGGGGTATAAATAATAAATTATTAGTATTATATAACTTGATTTAAAACAACAAACATGCAGGTGCAGTCATCTTTTCCCCAACACGGGATTTGAACCCACAACCTTGAGATTAAGCGTCTCATGCTCTACCAACTGAGCTACCCCGTCTAGTAGCCCTCAAAGGCAACGTCCGTAATTCCCATTGTTCTTGGCGCACTTTGCGACAGGAAATGTCATTAGTGCAAGCGGTTTCTGAGCTCTGGGCGCAGGACTGGGCCTAAGATTTGAGATTAAAACTGCAGAGTGGAAGGAAAGGACGACCTTTTTTCTGCCTCTGTGCTTCCAGCTGCTCTCTGAAGACTAGAGAAGAGAGAGCAGGAGCAGGTCTAGGCCAGGGCTGTCCAACAGGTTGATCACGATCTACTGGTCAATCGCGGGGTGTGCCCCTGGTCGATCCTGGCCGATCTTGGGACCCCCAACCACTTTTTCAAAAATAAAAAATTGCTCAACAACTTTGGTACTTCCTCCTCTCAACAATTCTGATCAGCGCTACCCCCAAAAAGCTCAACAACTTTGGTCAATACAACGGGCAGATAACTGCCAGTTTTGGTTTTTTTTCGTTGGAATATATCACAGTCTCTTGGAAGCTGGGCACCCCTGGACTAGACCATGTGAAAAACGAGCATAATATTTCAGCTGCAGTTCATTCATTTTCAGCTTTGCATTCTTGTTATTAAAAGCGCCCATTTCATAACCTCGGCTTAAGGTGCCATTAAGCTCCTAGCTTTCATATCTCCGTTTCTAACACGGCTCAGTAGCCCTTGCCCTCCATGACTTTGCTTGATTTTTAAACCCATCTAGGTTTTATGGCCATCCCTATGAGTTCCATAGTTTAACGGTGCATGCAGGAAGAAGCACTTTCATGAAGAAGTCCAGAACATCTGAGGGGCACCAGGTTGGCAATGGCTGCCTGGTGCATTGCCTTCTTGGTCTCGCTCTCTCATTTTGCTTTATACTAGCTTGCTTTCTTTTGCCGAGCTCTCAAGACTGCAGCTCCCGTGTTTCTGTGTGCCTGCCCCTTCCCATTTCTTTTAAAAATGGGTCTAAGAACTGGGATGCTGTTGATGCAAAGGCTCTGTAAGATAATACGTTCAGAAGCCAAGGAGGAGGTGAGAACTTCAAAGCAGGCTCTATTTTTATATCTGGCACATCTCTCTCCACAATTGACACCAAGGTCCCAGGCGTGCCGGCATCTTGCACAACCTGTTCGGGGCTCAAGAGGCTCTGGAGAAAACGGGGAACGAAAGCGTGCTAATGAGATTTATGTTTATGAGCTCAGGGGCTGGTGATGGGCCGGCATTCCTGAGCGTTCGAATCGGCGGCAGTGCGCATGCCCTTTATTCGATTATTCTTGTTTACTGTACAGTGGTACCTCTGGTTGCGAACGGGATCCGTTCCGGAGTCCCGTTCGCAACCTGAGAGGAACGCAACCCATGTCTGCGCACACGCGGGTCGTGATTCACCGCTTCTGCGCATGCGCGTGACATCATTTTGCGCATCTGCGCATGCGCGAGCTGCGAAACCCAGAAGTAACCCTTTCTGGTACTTCCGGGTTGCCGCGGGACGCAACCTGAACTGAAAGTAACAAGAGGCATGACTGTATTTATAGCCTGCCTTTCCCCCATGTCGGCGTTTGGCTCATAGGATTGTAGAGCTGGGGGGGGGGCCTCCCCAGCGGTCATCTAGCCCAACCTGCTGCCACGCAGGGACCACCGCTCCAGAATCCCTGACAGGTGGCCACCCAACCTCTCTTTCAAAAACCACAAGGAAGGAGATCCTGCCAGCTTCCAGACGACTCCTGCAAGGCAGCTAACAGCACTTAGAGGCATTATAAAATACAAAGCATAAAATACATGAAAATGCATTTGTGTGGGGGTTCTCTCACGCTTCATCTGGAAGCTTCGGTGGGTGCAGAATGCTGCAGCACGATTGCTGACAGGAGGGAGGTGTTGCCAGCATATAACTCCCGTGTTCACAGATCTGTACCGGCTGCCCATCTGCTACCAAGCCAAGTTCGAAGTGCTGTTATTAGCATATAAAGCCCCTAACAACTGGGGACCAGTTTACCTGTGAGATCACCTTACCTCACAGACGCCCACTCGGCCACTTCGGTCGAAGGAATTGGCCCTGCTACAGGTGCCCCATAATACTCATTCCACATTTGTAAGAAATCCATCTTTTAATATGGCACTTTGGAACTCCCTGCCTATTGATATCAAGGGGGCAGCACCACTGTATTATTTTCGGTGCCATGATGAAGACATTCTTGTTTGGACAAGTCCACCCAGAGACTTAGAAATTTGAGGTAATGTGAATCTGTTTTAGTATTTTAACTTTTATAGAATCATAGAATCATAGAGTTGGAAGAGACCACAAGGGCCATCGAGTCCAACCCCCTGCCAAGCAGGAAACACCATCAGAGCACTCCTGACATATGGTTGTCAAGCCTCTGCTTAAAGACCTCCAAAGAAGGAGACTCCACCACACTCCTTGGCAGCAAATTCCACTGTCGAAACAGCTCTTACTGTCAGGAAGTTCTTCCTAATGTTTAGGTGGAATCTTCTTTCTTGTAGTTTGGATCCATTGCTCCGTGTCCGCTTCTCTGGAGCAGCAGAAAACAACCTTTCTCCCTCCTCTATATGACATCCTTTCATATATTTGAACATGGCTATCATATCACCCCTTAACCTCCTCTTCTCCAGGCTAAACATGCCCAGCTCCCTTAGCCGTTCCTCATAAGGCATCGTTTCCAGGCCTTTGACCATTTTGGTTGCCCTCCTCTGGACACGTTCCAGTTTGTCAGTGTCCTTCTTGAACTGTGGTGCCTTTAAAGGGTCCCTTTACCTTTACCTTTTACATTCCAAAATAGGAGTCCTACCCCTTTCGTAAACCGCTTCGAGAGTTGTTGTTTTACAATCAAGCAGTGTATACATTTTATGAGATTAATAAATTTAGAACCAGCTATTAAAATCCAGTTTGTCCTGATAGTAGTCCAGCGATCAGCTTGGTCTAGACCAGGGGTCTGCAACCTTTAAGACAAAAAGAGCCACTTGGACCCGTTTCCGAAGGGGGAAAAAAGCCTGGGAGCCGCAAAACCATTGCCACATTTAAAGCATGCGCGCTGCTGCCCTCCGATCTGACAGTGGGTGGGAAGGTGACGACGGGACGGTGCGTGACTAATGCATGCACTGCCCCCATGTGACGTCACAGCCAGTACAGCGCCCGCCACAGTGGAGAGTGTCAGGGCACACAATGCGCCTCCTTCCCTCACTAGTATCCGCCCCGGAGCTGCGGCAAAGGTGTAAAAGAGCCACATGCGGCTCCGGAGCCGCGGGTTGCAGACCCCTGGTCTACACCAAAGTTTCCCAGCTGTTTTGGGGGAACAGTTCCCATCATCCCTTACCACCGGACCTGCTAGCTTGGGGTGATGGGATTTGTAGTCCAGAAACTTGGAGACCCAAGTTTGGGAGCCCTGGTCTACATGTCAGTTCCCAAAGGCTTGTCTGAGCAGGAAGGTGGAAGAAAAGCGAGGAGATGTTCAAGCCTGACCTCTCTTGAGAAGAGGGAATTTCGTGTCTCCTGGCACCACCAGCCTTGCTTCTGATGCTGATGGGACCGAGAGGAGGTGCCTACGAGTCGCTTCCCACGAAAACATATGTTTGTTATTAAGAAGAATAATTTAAAAAACCAACAGTAAAACTTTGCAAAACAAACAAACAAACAATTTCAGTCCCAGTAGAGAAAGACTGGATGGAATTAGAAACTTCCAAGCCTTTAAAAGGCTTGCAAAAAGAAAAAGGGAGGAAGAGTTTGCAAAGGAAATGGTAGAGTTGGTACCTACCTCAATATGCAGTGGCAGGGAGTTCCAAAGGTTGGTGCTGCTATAGTAAGGTTCCCCGATTTTTTTCAAGGAATCCGGGGACACTTTTCAACTCCGATGGATTTTGTACGGGGACTGATTTGTAAATCCGGGGACTGTCCCCCGGGAAACGGGGACGTATGATAACCTTAGGCTCTAGTCAAGGTCTAATTCCTGCAAATGGGCCTTCTGGATATTTGCTTGTGGAAAACTCTCTGCAATTTTGGGGGGGGGCGCTATAGGGGTGTGTTAGCTTTTGTCTTGAGCTCACTTTGTCTTTTCGCATGTGGGTCACGGAATCTGCGATTGGGGTTGACGGTTCACTTCCCTAAGGACGCTTAGCCTGCTTGCCCACTCCTCCTCCTCTTCACCCCCCCCCCATGAAGAAAATTGTTGGTATGGGCTTGGACATGTCAGCCCTTAGGACCCAGAGGGAACGCTTCGGAGAACTGTTTGGGCAAGGCGGTTCCCTACCCTGTGCAAGATCTTTTGTCGGGAGAGAGAAGTCTTTTAACTGTGGCTCAACCTGCCTGTCTTCTTCCCCTCTCCTGCTCCCCTTTGTGCACCCCCTCTTTGTCTTCAGAGGCAGCCCGCTGCACCCCCTCGGAGCATGGCCCCTCGCTGACAGGGCTGGCCGAAGTTTGACGCAGAGCGAGCCGGAGGAACTTCTCCCTGGGTCAAATGGCGACTGCAAACAAGGGTGAGTGGCCGGTGTGTGGTACCCGAGTGGGGCTGGATGCCCGTTGCCATGGCGACCTGAGCATCCTGGGTGGTCTTGGGCTGCTTTGGCCCTTCCGTCGGGCATGTTCCTGGAGTGCAGGGTTCCTTGCTCTTAGTTTGAATGCCAGAGCTTCCCTGCTGGATCAGGTCGAGTCCAGGCAGCTGCAGTCTCTCAGCCTGCAACCTGGAGGGTCGCTAGCACAGCGTTTGCCAACCTGGCGCCCTCCAACTCTTTTGGATCCCAGCTCCCATCAGCTTCAGCCAGCGCATGCCTACCTTGCAGGGTTGCACGGGCCGCAGAGACGATGCAGAGCAGTCTGAGCACAAACGATCAGGATTGCGCTTGAAATATTACGTGTTCCCTTTTGCAAGTTTGGGGAGGCTGCGGTAGTCCTGGGCTGGACGAAATTCCTGCCCACGCTAACCCAGTGCCCTCCAGAGGTTTTGGACTATGACTGCTGTGCTGGCTGGGGCTTCTGGGAGTCGTACAGTGGTACCTCAGGTTAAGTACTTAATTCGTTCCGGAGGTCCGTTCTTAACCTGAAACTGTTCTTAACCTGAAGCACCACTTTAGCTAATGGGGCCTCCTGCTGCTGCCGCACCGCTACTGCACGATTTCTGTTCTCATCCTGAAGCAAAGTTCTTAACCCGAGGTACTACTTCTGGGTTAGCGGAGTCTGTAACCTGAAGCGTATGTAACCTGAGGTACCACTGTAGTCCAAAACCATTGGACTTGCTCCAGGTTGTGCTATGCAAAGGCTGTGCTGTGCCGACGTCGCACGAATTCTGTCTTGAGCCTTTTTGGTTGTGATATGTCCAAACAAACATCCATCACTGCACCCGGAGGTAGGAAAGGTGAGGCAATAATATTCTTTGCAAATAAGCCCCGTGCCCATCAAAGGGCAGTAGAGCTGTTCTTGGGCAGGGAGGGGGCTGTTGTGTCCAAAACATACAGAACGGAGCTGGCTGAAATACCTGGCCGAGTGGCTCGAATCTTTTGCTCCATGTCTGCCTGCCTTTCTGTGTTTTGTATTCAGTCCTTGCCTCCCTTTAATAATCCGTTTCAGAAAGCGGATGCAAATCGGTTCAGAACGTCTCCGGCGAGGAAAATCCGCATGCCGCAGCAAAAACCTGAATGAAAGGGGTTTGAGCCAGTTTGGTGCAGAGGGCAGCGCCGTGACTGCCTGAACTGGGGACGGGTTCAAATCGCTACTGGCTCTGGCTTGGCGGGCAGAGGGCTGCGTCTCAGGCTTGCCTTCCTTGCAGGGTCGTTGGAGGGTCTAAGACTGGATAGCCCCTGAGCTCCTTGGAAGAAGGGAATGCTTCTGCATTCAACACATGGTGAAACTGCAGCTCACTGCCCCGCAGGTGGTGGTGGCCCCAAGCTGGATGGCCTTAAAAGAGGAGTAGAGAGAGATTCCTAGAGGAGGAGGCGGCTATCGATGGCTACTAGCCATGATAGATATAAAATAGCTCCACAGTCAGAGGCTGCAATGCTTCTGAATCCCAGATGCTGGAAGCCACAGGAGGGGAGAATAGCTCTTGTGCACGAATCCTGATTACTGATTACCTGGCTGGCCATTGTGAGAACAGCATGCTGGACTAGACGGGCCATTGGCGTCATCCAGCAGACCCTTCTCACATTCTTCTGCGCTTATAAACTCAGTGACCAGATGCCTCAACAGACCAGCTCTGCAGCTTTGCAAGGCACGCCTCCCTTTCTTTGCAAAAAAAATATTAGCAGACGTCTGGAGTCTCCTAAGAATCGCTGCTTCTAATTCCCCTGCCTTCCACTGCCGAAACCTCTCTGCGTTAACAACCCTTTTCTCCCCCAACTCCCAGTGGCCTCAACCCCCATTATTTGGCCTTATTGACAACACAGTCATGCACAGCGGTACCTTGATTCTCGAACTTAATCCGTTCAGGAAGACTCCTGAAACCATTCAAAAACCAAGACGCGGCTTCCGATTGGCTGCAGGAGTTTCCTGCCATGTCGGACGTTCGGCTTCCGAAAAACATTCGGAAACCGGAACACACACTTCTGGGTTTTAGGTGTTCGGGATCCGGTTTGTTCGACAGCTAAGCTGTTCGGGAACCAAGGTACCACTGTATCTCCCTGTCTCTTCAGAGGTAAGGGGCTTCTTGAGTTCAGTGGGGCAGAGGGAGGTTGATGTAGGATTGCATTTCAGGGGGGTTGGGATGGATGACCTCTGGGGTTCCCTTCCAACTCTACAGTCCCATCATTGCAGCCTCAGTGGCTGATCCATGGCTAATGGGCAGAATTTGGAATGTGCTACCCACCCTCCTCTTTCCTCCTCCTCCTCCTTTGCTGGACAGGAGTTTCTGGAAAGGCAAGTCCATGTACTTTGACCTGGGAGGGGGACGCGGAAAACCTTGCTGGACAGGAGGAGGGAAGCCTCCCAGAAGTTAGTCGCCTTGCTTGGGGCATAATTGTAAACCCATCAGCGCTGGAGGGGACTTCAGCCATTGCAAGATATGCTTTTTTATTGCACTAGTTTATTGGGACCCTGAAATCCACCAACTGGCGTCTAGTATAGAAAGACGTACGCTTAGGATTCAATAATTTTCAGCACAGGAGTGATTTTGAGGACCAGAACTGAATGGAGCCCAGCCCTTACACACACACACACACACACACACACACACACAAACATGGTCTGTCCTTTCCCCCAACTTTCTTCATTCCAGCTATGATATACTGTCAGTGGGTGAGTCATTTCTGTTGCAATTGCTGAACAACCGGGGAGTCAGGAATCCTTTGCTTACTCAGACATTAATACGAGGTTAGGAGAGAAAGGTGTAGTAGTAAACAGCCAGCTGGGAGATCCAGGTTCACATTTTTGCTTGCTGTCATGAGTAGGCTGGAGTAGTGGTTAAGACTAGGACCCGGGAGACCAGGATTCAGATCCTGGCTCAGCCATGACTCTCACTGGCTGTGACCTTGGGCTGCCAGTCCACTGCCTTGCAGCTTAACCTACTTTGCAGTGTTGTTGGTATTAAACCAGGCACAGGGCCTTCTCAGTGTTGGCACCCACCTTGGACACCCTCCCATCAGATGTCAAAAAGATGAGTAGCTATATACCTTTTAGAAGACCTCTGAAGGCAGCCCTGTATAGGGAAGCTTTTTAAGGTTTGATGTTGTTTAATGATGTTTATATATATATATATATGTTGGAAGCTGCCCAGAGTGGCTGGGGCAACCCGCTCAGATAGTCGGAGTACAATTAATAGAAATTATTATTATTAAATTATGGGGGAGAATCTTGGATGAGCTCCTTGCAGAAGGATGGGATTATAAGTGCAGTCAGTGAATAGTGAATTGCTTCGCTTCTAAACTGTCTGCATTTCTGAATACAGTGAGCAAGGTAGAGTAGGCGGCATTTGGCGGCTGAAATAAATGACTGTTGCGTCTTGTATCTGCTGAACCGGCAGCCTCACATTCTTCCTCTGTCACTGGTGCCCCCAGATGCCCCACAAGGGGATGGAGTGGCTCCTCTAGGGCCTTTTTAGTTTAGAGCGGGGTTTCCCCATCTTGGGTCTCCAGCTGTTTCAGAACTACAGTTCCCATCATCCCTGACCACTGGTCCTGTATCCAGGGATGATGGGAGTTGTAGTCCAAAAAATAGCTGGAGACCCGAGTTTGGGAAACACTGGTTTAGAGAAAAGGTAAGAGGCCCCATGATATTGTTGGCATCTGTCTTGAGAGACAAAGGAGGAGGGCTTCTTTGGGGGTGAGGTCAATCAGTTGGAGAGTTGCAGCGCAGGCTGTGACTGCAGAGACCAATAGGGGAGAGACATGTTTTGTTGCAGCCGGGGCAGATGAAGGCATCTGGTTGTGCTGCTGCAGATGCACCAAGGCTAGGGTTACCAGATGTCCCCGGTTCCCTGGGACAGTCCCCAGATTTGCAAATCTGTCCCCGGACAAATTCCATCTCTGGAATGTCCCCAGATTTGCAAATCTGTCCCCTGTGGCAGTGGCAGTCTCAGCAGCCCGGAGCCAGCCTGGTAGCGCAGTTGGCCCTGGCTGGCTCCTGGAGCTGCCTCCTGCCATGGTGCCTGCCCTTTTTCCTTGCCGAAACTTCTGGCAAGGAAAAATGGTGGACGCCATGGCAGCGAGCAGCTCCTGAAGCCAGCCAGGGCCAACTGCGCTACCAGGCTGGCTCTGGGCTGCTGATTGCCGCTGCCGCCACTGCTGCCAAGGGGGAACTGGGGACGTCCGGCGGTACAGATTTCCTGCCCCCCTTTGTTTTGACTGGTCAGGGGAGGCTCGGGACTTGCGGCCGGCCGGCCGTTGCCCAGTTTTTAAAAAACTCTGCACATTTATGTTTCACAAGGTGCGAAAGAAGGGCTTTGCACCTTGCCTGGCAGAGAAACTGCGCGCCTTGTACCGCTCCTGGGCAACGGCTGCCCGCCCGTGACTCCCAAGCCTCCCCCGATCTGTCAGAAGAAAGGGGGAAGGGGGAAGGAGATCGGGGAAGGCTCAGGAGTCATGGGCGCGCGGCGTGCATTGCCCAGTTTTTTAAAAAAATCTGTGCATTTTATGTTTCACAGGTTGCGAAAGAAGGGCTTTGCACCTCACCATCCCCACTACTGACTCCCTGTTGCTAGTCAGCTTCCCCCAAAAAAAAGTGTCCCCAGATTCATTGAAAAAAATCTGGTAACCATAACCAAGGCGTTAATTCTCTCTGTGCTCCTTCCCGCGGTCATTTCTCCTCTGGTCACTGCTACGGATGCACGACCTGACGTTCTGTCTTCAGGCACTGCAGTTGTCTGCAAAGGGATTTCCACACGGTGTGGTTGATGTTGCCATCCTCTGTGCCACTTTTTCAGACATCTTTGTGTCACAGAGTTGGGCCTGGTGCCAGAAGCCAGGAGCACATCTTTGGGGATACGACAGGAGTTTATGATATGGTTCATGGCATGGAGAAACCTGAAAGGGGATTTCATCTCGGTGAAAAACAGGCCTGCCCCTAATTCCTGCAGTTGAGCAGACGCAGCATAAAAGGAAAAGGCAACAAGGAGGGAGGAGAATGGGGGAAAGAGCAAATTTAGGGTACCTGTGCTTCAGGTTACAGAGCTCTTGCAGTGAGCAGCTAGGCTGGAAACAGTTCAGGGGAGCCTGATGGAATGGCTGTTGCTTGGGATCAGATGCAGGAGAGCCTAGGGCAGCTGGCCTCTGCCTTTGATGCAGCCTGATGGAAAGGTTGCTTCCCAGTGGCTGGGCTCAATGCTCTGCTAATGCTGAACCCCACCCTGGGGGTGGAGAGGACTCGGCCACAGCTGTGCAGCCCTCTCCCTCCAGCTATCGGCACCGCCTTCTTGCCTGAGCTTGCTGGGGCTCGTGTCCCTGACCTTTTGTTTTTTAAGCACCTGCCCAATATCATGTTTTCCGTCCATCAGATATGCAGTGACCCGTTGCTCTGAACTTTTCCACATTTTTTAAGAAAACAACTTTGTGATGGGCTGATACGGGCTGTGAGTGATGCTTGTTGGGTTAGTTTGGGGGATGGGGGAATCTTAACAAGTTTGGCTGTAGAGGCGATCAGGCTGGGTAAGGCAGTTTAGGACCTAGGCCAGGGGTCTGCAACCTTTAAGACAAAAAGAGCCACTTGGACCCGTTTCCGAAGAAAAAAAACCTGGGAGCCGCAAAACCCGTCAATAAAAAAATAACTTTTTTGTCACTTTTTTATTATTTCTTTGTTTGACCCCTCAGAATTACTCCTCCTCATAGAAATAAACGTTAAATTAACAAGTTACCTTTTTTGTGTGTGTGTGTTCTTCACTCCCCTTCAAAACAGTGACCAGCATACATGCCCCCTTTCAATGCAGTGACCAGCGTACATGCCCCCTTTCAATGCAGTGACCAGTGTACATGCCCCTTACAATGTAGCGGGCGGGCGGGCGGGCGGGAAGGTGATGTCGCGACGGTGTGTGACTAACGCATGCACTGCCCCCATGCAACATCACAGCCAGTACAGCGCCCACCACAGTGGGGAGTGTCGGGGCACACAATGCGCCTCCTCCCCTCACTAGTATCCGCCCTGGAGCCGCGGCAAAGGTTTAAAAGAGCCACATGCGGCTCCAGAGCCGCGGGTTGCAGACCCCTGACCTAGGCTAACGGTTTATTGTCGGTTCTCAGGTGTGGAAACGGAAGACACCAGGCAGGCTTTTTAAAATGTGTATCTTCAAAATAAACATATTTTAAAATATAATTTGTTCCATTAGAAAATGTCTTTGTCTTCTTCCTTTGTCTCTTTGTCTTCTTCTCTGTCTTTGTCCTCCTCTTTGTCGTTGTCTTTGTCTTCTTCATAGCGGAGGTGCTTATCCAAAGCGGGCTCCCTGGAAACATTTATAAATAAGTTTCCTTGGCAGAAACCCTCTGCAAAAGGAAGAGCTGGATCTTTTCCACTTGACACGCCTCTGCTCATCAGTCGAACCGTGCACCCTTTTCACCGTCTCCTAAGCACCAAACTTATCTCTGCCATTTGGTGCATTGTTGTCTCTGAGAGCTGCAGCTGTTGCCTGTTGATAGCAAGCCCAATAAACGCACGAGACGCAACCGGCTGTGTTCTTAGATAAATAAGGTATACTATTCATAGTATCAAATTTCAAATTTCAACGGAAGTATCTCATAAAGTTCAACAAATGAACAAAGCAGAAGACTCAGTGGATCAGATCATTCTCTAGTCAGTTCATGCATAAGGTTGTTTATAGTTTTATATTATTTTTGCTGTAAAATGTGTGAGATCATGATATTGTATTTATTTGCATTACAAATAAATAATCACTGCAGATGGTGACAGCAGTCACGGAATTAAAAGACCCCTGCTTCTTGGGAGAAAAGCAATGACAAACCTAGACAGCATCTTAAAAAGAAGAGACATCACCTTGCCAACAAAGGTCCGTATAGTTAAAGCTATGGTTTTCCCAGTAGTGATGTATGGAAGTGAGAGCTGGACCATCAAGAAGGCTGATCGCCGAAGAATTGATGCTCTTGAATTCTGGTGCTGGAAGGAGACTCTTGAGAATGCCATGGACTGCAAGAAGAGCAAACCGATCCATTCTGAAGGAAATCAGCCCTGAGTGCTCACTGGAAGGACAGATCCTGAAGCTGAGACTCCAAGACTTTGGCCACCTCATGAGAAGAGAAGACTCCCTGGAAAAGACCCTGAGGTTGAGAAAGATGGAGGGCACAAGGAGAAGGGGACGACAGAGGACGAGATGGTTGGACAGTGTTCTCGAAGCTACCAGCATGAGTTTGACCAAACTGCGGGAGGCAATGGAAGACAGGAGTGCCTGGCGTGCTCTGCTCCAGGGGGTCACGAAGAGTCAGACATGACTAAAGGACTAAACAACAACAGCATTATTTAGAGCTTTAAGTACTGATGAAGCCCAAGACGGCGAAGCAAGGCCAATATTCCGGAAATCCTTGTCTAGACTCTGTATAAGGATTTTTGTGGAACTGTAACAACCTTTCATGTGGACTTTTTGGATTTTACGAACAGACAGATGGAATAGGCACCATTATACAGATGGACCTGACTAAGGAATGATCTGATCCACTGGGTCTTCTTCTTTGTTTGTTTGTTGAACTTTATGTGTTACTTGCACTGAAATTTATAATTTGATACTATGAATAGTACAGTGGTGCCCCGCAAGACGAATGCCTCGCAAGACGGAAAACCCGCAAGACGAAAGGGTTTTCCGTCGCGGAGGCGCTTCACAAGACGAATTTCCCTATGGGCTTGCTTCGCAAGACGAAAACGTCTTGCGAGTCTCGCCATTTCCCCCCCCCGCTTTCCCCCCTTTTTCAAAGCCGCTAAGCCACTAATAGCCTTTTAGCAGCTTAGCCGCTAATCCTTTAATAGCCGCTAAGCCACTAAATCGCTAATAGCGCTAATCCTCTTAGCCGCTAATGGGGTTGCTTCGCAAGACGAAAAAACCGCTAGACGAAGAGAATTGCGGAACGGATTCTTTTCGTCTTGCAAGGCACCACTGTATAACTTATTTATCTAAAGAGCACAGCCGTTACATCTCGTGTGTTTATTGAGTATGCTTTACGTGACCATAGGTTGTTGTTTTGCTAGTGTTGATAGCATGCCGGCATTGTGGTGAGAGCCTCTATAACCTCAGCTCCTTGGTGTCCTTTGTGCAAGCCTTTCTTCCCTTCCACCAACCCCAACGACTAATAATAATAATAATAATAATAATTTATTTATACCGCTTTCCTTGCTTGGCTACAAGACCAGGTGATGAAAAGGAGGAGGAGGAGCCCGGTGTGGCTTTCAGTGCAAAGCCAAATCTGGTTTTCTCAATCCAGCCTGAATGCTGGGCAGATCAAACTTGCCAATATTATACAAATAATAATAATTTATTATTTATACCCCACCCATCTGGCTGGGCTTCCCCAGCCACTCTGGGTGGCTTCCAACAAAATATTAAAATACTGTAATGCATCAAACATTAAAAGCTTCCCTAAACAGGGCTGCCTTCAGATGTCTTCTAAAAGTCAGGTAGTTGTTTGTTTCCTTGACATCTGGTGGGAGGGTGTTCCACAGGGCGGGCGCCACCACCGAGAAGGCCCTCGGAGCTGGACCTCAGTGTCTGGACTGGACGATTTGCAACACAGGGGTTTAATTCTTTGGTTACTTATTGTTGTACAATCCTATTGGGGCATCTGGTTATCCACTGCGAGAACAGGATGCTGGGTTAGGTGGGCCTGATCCTGTGTTCACCAGACCAAGCCAGCTGCAAATAAGCAGCTCCAACTTCTGTCTAATGTTGCTAGTGGATTCCTCTTCCTGAAATTGGCACCTGATCCCTGTTTGGCTTTGATGTGTCTCCTCTAGGCACCAAGTCCAAAGTGGGAGGTGTCCGCTTCGCCCCGCCTCAACCGGCAGAGGGGAGTTCCAGCCATGTTCACTTTGACGAAAAGCTCCACGACTCCGTGGTCATGGTCACCCAGGAGAAAGATGGCAGTTTCTTGGTGAAGGTAAGAGCGCACTGTTGACTTACGTCATGCTTATGGTCCACTGAGACCCTTAGATCCATTTCACATGTACTACTAGTTGGGATGCGGGTGGCGCTGTGGGTTAAACCACAGAGCCTAGGGCTTGCCGATCAGAAGGTTGGCAGTTCGAATCCCCACAACAGGGTGAGCTCCCGTTGCTCGGTCCCTGCTCCTGCCAACCTAGCAGTTCGAAAGCACGTCAAAGTGCAAGTAGATCAATAGGTACCGCTCCGGCGGGAAGGTAAATGGCATTTCTGTGCGCTGCTCTGGTTTGCCAGAAGTGGCTTAGTCATGCTGGCCACATGACCCAGAATCTGTACGCCGGCTCCCTCGGCCAATAAAGCAAGATGAGCGCCGCAACCCCAGAGTCGGGCACGACTGGACCTAATGGTCAGGGGTTCCTTTACCTTTTACCTTACTAGTAGGCCAGGTGTCTGTTTGTGCATCTGGAGTCTAGAGGGGGGACTGCATGTTGGTGCTCCCATCATGTTGTTGTTTAGTCGTTTAGTCATGTCCGAGTCTTCGTGACCCCCTGGACCAGAGCACGCCAGGCACTCCTGTCTTCCACTGCCTCCCGCAGTTTGGTCAAACTCATGCTGGTAGCTTCAAGAACACTGTCCCACCATCTCGTCCACTGTCGTCCCCTTCTCCTTGTGCCCTCCATCTTTCCCAACATCAGGGTCTTTTCCAGGGAGTCTTCTCTTCTCATGAGGTGGCCAAAGTATTGGAGCCTCAACTTCACGATCTGTCCTTCCAATGAGCACTCAGGGCTGATTTCCTTCAGAATGGATCGGTTTGCTCTTCTTGCAGTCCATGGGACTCTCAAGAGTCTCCTACAGCACCAGAATTCAAAAGCATCAATTCTTCGACGATCAGCCTTCTTTATGGTCCAGCTCTTACTTCCATCATAGTCCTTCACCTACCAGAAACCATGCCTATCTGCGCAGTATTTTATTATTTATTTATTTATTTATTTATTTATTTATTTATTTATTTCCCTTCTCTTCCCTCCCCCTCCCCTTTTATGAAGATCACCCGCTCTGAGACCCCACAGCTAATTCTTCCCTGGCTTCCTTGCTGGCCCAAGTAGGACTAATTCAGCCAGCTAGCCCTGGTGACTATCAAATGCTTATTAGATGGGTTTCCCCCAAATTGATTTCTGAACTTTGAATTTTATTGTTATTCTTTTTTTATATACTGTATTTTATTCTGCTTCTACAATTAAGTGTTTTAAATTTGTTGTTAGCCTCCCTAAGCCCGGTTTTCTGAACCGGGAAGGGCGGCGTGTAAATAAAAAATTAGTAGTAGTAGTAGTATTAGTGAGGACTAGGAACACGCTTAAAAAAATTATTGAGTTTTACATAAGATATTTCAGTTTACACATATTGTTGACCATCACATTTAGGATTCCCAGAAGCCCTAGACTTCCCACCCCCCCTCTGGTTTCCAATGTCAATCCCTTTTTCTTTCAGCCTATCCATTTTTTATCTCATTTGTTAACAATATTACATTGGTACCTCGGGTTAAGTACTTAATTCGTTCCAGTGGTCCGTACTTAACCTGAAACTGTTCTTAACCTGAAGCACCACTTTAGCTAATGGGGCCTCCTGCTGCTGCTGCGCCGCTGGAGCACAATTTCTGTTCTCATCCTGAAGCAAAGTTCTTAACCTGAAGCACTATTTCTGGGTTAGCGGAGTCTGTAACCTGAAGCGTATGTAACCTGAAGCGTATGTAACCCAAGGTACCACTGTACTAACTTTTCCTATTGTTACGCTTTTTAAACCCCACAAACCTAGCAGCAGCAAAACGCTGAGCTCTTCTGAATGCAAAACTCTTCTGTGTTGAGCATCGCACCCTGTGTTTCTAATGAACTTTCTGCAAGAGGTTTTTCTCTCTCTCGACTTTATTCTTTGACCCCTATAACTGAGATCCTTCCAGGTTCCCAGAGGGGACCCCCTCTCCCAACAATGCTCTTTCCAGGAAGGGCGAGCTATATATAAACCCTGTGTGTCCAGATCCTGCCTTGATGATAGCATATTGAAATTAGCAAGTCCTTTTCGTAGCTCAGGGAATTACCGCTTTAATTCGCTTTTGCCCTTGGCGCTTGGAAGCCGTCCAAGCAAAGGGGATCAGGCAAGATTTTCAGACTGGTAGCGTTGGTGGCTTAGTTGCTGTTGACTCAGAGCTTACCCAAATTAGCACCAATTTACCAGGACTTCCCCTGCTTCCTTCTCCTGCTTTGGCTAGCAAATTGTCAGGAGACGGAGAGCATCCAGTTCTTTGTAACTCTTGAAGCAGGGGCATTAAACAACTATTTTACTTTTAAAAGACAACTGAAGGCGGCCCTTTAGGGAGGTTTTTAATGTCTGACGCTGTATTTTTTTTCATATTCGGTTGGAAGCCGCCCAGAGTGGCTGGAGAAACCCAGCCAGATGGGAGGGGTAGAAATAATAAATTATTATTATTATATACAGGTGAAACTCGGAAAATTAGAATATTGTGGAAAAGTTCGTTTATTTCAGTAATTCAGCTTAAAAGGTGAAACTAACCTTTTAAGTTGAATTACTGAAATAAATGAACTTTTCCATATTATTCAAATTTTCTGAGTTTCACCTGTATTATTTTCACTGCGGGTGTCGGAGGACGTTGAGACACAGCAGATCAGGAGGTTTGTGTCGTGCAGAAAGCTTCAAAACAGAGAGTCTGGGAGCCTTGCTTCAGGGCAGGGCTCAAGGCCTGCTCAATCCGCTGGCTCTGGGATGCTCTCATGAGATTTCACGACGGCGCATGAATCCCCACAAGAATTCCTGGCTTCTCCCGCTAGCTAAGGGGTCGGGTGTGCACAGTTTTCCTGTATACGCGAAACTCCTGGTGCCAAACCCCCTGGCTAAGATGCTCTCACACTGGGATCGATAAAATAAACACCCCGAGGGCACCACCTTGGCCACCCCTGCTTGGGGTTCCCTCTGTGAGACTTAATCCATGCGCAGGCCCCCTGCTCCCCATCCCACTGCCAAGAACTTTAGATCCCATTCTGGAAGCAGCTGTCCCTCTCGTTTTCATTCTCTTGACAACGTTTTGTCCCCCTGGAGCAAAATCACATCTGGGGAAGAGACGGGAGGGAGAGTCCTTGCATGTCGTGCTGGTGGAAAGCCGGATGTGCGGAAGATCTGTCGCCTGGCTTGTGGTGTTGCTTCAGCAGGTGTGGGGGTCCCTTCCTTCCACAGCACCTGGTTTTGTGAGCAAACCCAGTGGGAGTGGGTGAGGGTAGGTGGTTTTTGCAGTGTAAAGGTAAAGGGACCCCTGACCATTAGGTCCAGTTGTGGCCGACTCTGGGCTTGCGGCTCTCATCTCGCTTTATTGGCCGAGGGAGCCGGTGTACAGCTTCCGGGCCATGTGGCCAGCATGACTAAGCTGCTTCTGGCAAACCAGAGCAGCGCACGGAAATGCCATTTACCTTCCTACCTATTTATCTACAGTGGTACCCCGCAAGACGAACGCCTCGCAAGACTCGCAAGTCCAGGACCTCTTCTGAAGGCGGGCGGGGGGTGAAAGTCTTTGCTCCCCCTGCCTGCCTTCCCAGGGGCTTTTAAATCGCCCCGGACAGCGGAGAAGTCCTCCGCTGTCCCGGGCGATTTTAAAATGCCGCCCGCCAGCATTTTAAGATTGCCCCGGACAGCGGAGAAGTCCTCCGCTGTCCCGGGGTTTTTTAAAATGCTGGGGGTGGGAATAAAAGCCCTTGTCCCCCCCCCCCAGCCTTCAGAAGAGGTCGGGGGACAGACTGTCCCCGGACCTGGTCTGAAGGCGGTTTCCCTAGGAACGCATTAATTGATTTTCAATGCATTCCTATGGGAAACCGTGCATCGCAAGACGAAAAACTCGCAAGACGAAGAGACTTGCAGAACGAATTAATTTCATCTTGCGGGGCACCACTGTACTTGCACTTTGACGTGCTTTCGAACTGCTAGGTTGGCAGGAGCAGGGACCGAGCAACGGGAGCTCACCCCGTCGCGGGGATTTGAACCACCAGCCTTCTGATCGGCAAGTCCTAGGCTCTGTGGTTTAACCCACAGCGCCACCTGCGTCCCTTTTGCAGTGTGGGGCCCTTCTAATTCCTATTAGGTTTCCCGCTCTCAGAGCAGCCATAGATGGAGTCTTTGGCCTGGTTCAGCCTTAGCAGCAAGCCATGGTTTCCCTGGTAAAATCACACAACCAAGTTTTGGGGTGCCACGGCCCAGTGTGCTCACCCTCTCCTCACTTTTCACGACTGAGAAGAATAAGCTTTCACATACAGTGGACAACCCAAAACATCTGTTGCATCACAGCTCACCTCTGGTCTACCCTCCAGAGCAGGGGAAAATAAACTTGCTCCCCCTTCCATGCGACAGCCCTTCAGATATTTGAAGATGGCTATCAGCTGGACCATCAAGAAGGCTGATCGCCGAAGAATGGATGCTTTTGAATTCTGGTGCTGGAGGAGACTCTTGGGAGTCCCATGGACTGCAAGAAGATCAAACCTATCTATTTTGAAGTACTCACTGGAAGGACAGATCCTGAAGCTGAGGCTCCAAGACTTTGGCCACCTCATGAGAAGAGAAGACTCCCTGGAAAAGACCCTGAGGTTGGGAAAGATGGAGGGCCCAAGGAGAAGGGGACGACAGAGGACGAGATGGTGGGACAGTGTTCTCGAAGCTACCAACATGAGTTTGACCAAACTGCAGGAGGCAGTGGAAGACAGGAGTGCCTGGCGTGCTCTGGTCCAGGGGGTCACAAAGAGGTGGACATGACTAAACGACTAAACAACAACAACCATATCTCCTCTGTCTCCCCCTTTCCCGGCTAAACACACCCAGCTCCTTCCAGACCCTTGATCATCTTGGTCACCCTCCTCTGCACACCTTCCAGCTTGTCAACATCCTGCTTAAATTGTGGTGCCCAGAATTGGGACACGGTATTCCAGGTGTGGTCTGACCAAGGCAGAA